TAATGGCAAGACACAAAGAAAGACATAGTACCAATTCTCCTCACACACACTATAATAAAGTCATGAAGAGAAATCCATCCTGTTCAGTTTCAGCTGAGGTATCAAGGGTTAATAATTCAGAAGTGCTAAGCATCTTTAAAGCCAGGTGCTCTATCACCTATGCAGAAGTAGCTAAGATGGTGTAAAATTAAGTTGACTTTCATGAAATTGTGATTCTCCTTAGGAGTACACAGATATTTAAGTGAAACAGGACAAAAGGGAAATGTATGTGGAAAGAGGTGTCATTATGCTGTGTATCACCTTAATGATCCACATTGAAGGAGGGAAAATGTTCCACACTCATCTCCAAACGAATGAGAAGAGTTATGAAGGGGGCACTCAATGGACACAAATGTGTTCCCCAGAGTTTTAATGGAGTAGTGACCATATGGAAGTCTACGGAAGTCTAAAGGCTACTTATGGAGTAACCTGAAGCTGACAGAGAACAGTGATAAAGGACTGCAAGGGAGCTAACCTATTTCCACCAATCACAAAGGGAAACCACGTGTGTATCTCACTTTGGGAAACTGGGATAGGGTGATTATAAAATGTATCTAGTACAGAATTAATGCAGTCCTTATTAAAATGGTGCCAGTGTTTTTTGCAGAAATATAAAAATCCATTCTAAAACTCATATGGAATCTTGAGATCCCAAATAGCACAAACAATTTTGAATAAGAATAATAAAGTTGGATGGTTTATACTTTTTGATTTCAAAATCAAAATAGTGTGGTACTGGCATCAAGACAGATATATAGACCAATATAATAAGATAGAGGGCCCAGAAATCAATCCTCAAATATATGCTCAAGTGTTTTCAACAAGAGGGCCGAGACCATTCATCATGGAAAGGATGCTCTTTTCCGATAATGGTGTTGGGGAAACTATTTGCCAAAAAAGCAAGTTGAGTCCTTACCTTATACTGTATACAAAAATTAATTTAAAATAGATCAAAGACCTAAAGCAAGAGCTAAAACTATAAAATACTTAGGGGGAAAGCTTCAGGAGGCTGGATCTTGCAATGATTTCCTGGATATACAACCAAAACCACAGGCAACAAAAGTAAAATATAGTTAAGTATAAATAGCAATAATAAAAATTATATCAAAAATTTAAAAAAATCCTGTGCATCAAACAACATACCAATAGAGTGAAAAGGCAACCTACAGAATGGGAGAGAATATTTGAAAATCATATATCTAATGAGAGATTAAAATTTAGAATATATAAAGAACTCCTACATGTCAACAGCATAAAAAAGCAACAACCCTGATTTAAAAAAAAAAATGGGCAAAGGACTTGAACAGACATTTCTCCAAAGAAGACATGTATGTAACCAAAACTACATGGCAATATGCTCAACATCAGTAATCATTAGGGAAACACAAATCAAAACCACAATAAGGTATAATACTATTAGGATAAGCATTAGTCTACTTTCAAAATACAGAAAATAAGAAGTTTTATGAGGATGTGGGTAAAATACAAGTCTTGTGCACTGTTGGTGAGAAAGTAAAATGGTACAGCTGCTATGGAAAACAGTATTGTGTTTCCTCAAACAATTAAACATTGAATTATTACATGATCTAACAAATCTACTTGTAAGGCAGAGTTTTAAAAGAATTAAAAGCAGAGTTTTGAAGAAATATTTGTAAACCTATGTTCATAACAACTCTGTTCACAATAGCTAAGCAATGAAAGTAACCCATGTATCCATCAATTGATGAATGGAAAACAAAATGTGGTATATACATCCAATGGAATACTATTCAGACCTAAAAAGGAAAAAAATTCTGACACATTAAAATGGATGAACCTCGAGGACAATATGCTAAGTGAAATAAGCCAGTCACAAAAGGACAAATGCTACATGACCTCACTTTTATGAGGAACCTAGGCCAGTCAAATTAATAGAGACAGAAAATAGAATGGCGGTTGGCAGGGTTCAAGGATAGTGGGACTATTTAATGGGTACACAGTTTCAGTTTTAAAATGTGAAAAGAGCCCTGGAGATTGGATGTACAACCATTCTGGAGGTCTATACCACCACCGAATTGCACCTCTAAAAATGATTAAAATGGTAAATTTTGTTATGTATATTTTACCACAATTAAAAAAAAGAAAACGTATCCTATGGGACTCTAGGCAATGAAATAATAATACAGGGAGTGCCAATACAGTCCTCAAAACTGAGGAGGAATCAGCTGAAAAGAAGTATTGCTAACAGGAACTAAGTAGGAGCCAGATAAGGTGATTTCTGAAAAACACACAAAATGATTCAGTAAGGAAGCCATCAACAGTACCCGTCTGTGCTTTTCTTCCTACAGCTTTCTCTCCCCAAGTGGCATCAGAAACAGTAGCTATTAAATAGAAGATTTAATGAAGCTAAGGAAAAAACAGGAAGCAAGCAGAACATTCTGTCCTCTGAATGCTTCCAGACCTGAAATAGTTCAGGTCAGAGGAGGAAAGAGGTTTTAAATTCGAGAATCAGTTCTCATAGAGGAGATTTCAGTTTTGATATTATGCTAGACATAAAATTTCTGTATGGATACTGTTCTTATTACTAAAAAGGACCATAAAATGATGGCATTGACTCCCAACTATCCAGATGTGTGAAAATGTCTCAAAGTGAGTTTAATGCAACAAAAGAATCAAATTAATTTCTGTGTGAACATACAGAGCTACAGTCCTTTCAAAACATCTGATGGTTCACTTCCATTCCCCGCCCCCATCCCCCATTCTCTGATGCCTGCCTACACACTCTTTCCTTCTATGTGGTTGAGGGTTGTGGGTTAATGGTCCTTCCTTGACCAAAAACTTGGTGATGTCAGTTCCTGATAGGTGGGCAGGAGGGGAGGCAGGACCTTAAGAAATATCCCAATCATGCAAATTACTTTTTAAATAAATAAAATATGTTCGGGACTCTCATGGTTGTCTTGAAGATTTCTCCTATTTATTTCATTAACCGTTTCATAAGAAAATGTTTCCTCTGGTCTGTCAGAATGTATTACTTCTTTTAAACTTTCGAATCAGTACTGTATCTAGTCTTTTGCTTCCCCCCCCCACCCCCCGCCGCATTTTGCTCAGGTTTTCTGGTACTGGATTTTTAGATGAGCTATTGCAGAAAGACTTGAATGTTTTAGACCCAGAGTAGAAAATGAAAAAAAAAATATTATTGATAGCTAGATTTTGTGAAATTTGGAATCCAATTGTCCTGAAGTGCAGTGAGCAAGAGTATGGAAGATAGCCATCGCAGCCTGCAGTGTCTACCATGCAAGATCTGATGGACGAGGATTGAGTTGTTGCCTGGCAACATTTCTTCATTCCTTTCACCTCCAGTGACTGACACATTGAGCATGTGGGGTGCTGTTCTCCACCGGATCTCCAGTGGCATTTAGATATAAGCAAAGGTAGAGATGGTCACGACTGGACCAAACATTCTGTTGTATAAGTACATAGACCTTAACTTTTTTTTACTATTTCATTCCACTTGTTGTAACAGCCTAGATTTAGAAGTTTGTGCTATGCAGTTTCGTTTACTAGCTAACCGACTGCAGAAATCTTAGTAGCTGTGTTCCTGTTTCATTTATTAAGGTTTCTGTGACTTGTGAAGGCCACAGCCTGATATAAATATAAATAAATAAACACATAAACAAACAAACAAACCACAATGAATTTTCTGATCTCCTTCAGTCACTTGAAAAGCATTTATTGGACCTTAATACACGGCAAATTCTATGAAAAGCATGGAATTGGGTAATGGATAGATTGACTGATATGTGTATGGAAAGTACACTTTTGAGTGGTCAGAATAAACCTTCTCACTAAAAGAATTTTTGCTGCCTATACAAACTTGTCTTCATTTTTCTAGCGAGTTTACTCATGTATGCATAGAGTAGAGAGATTTAGCAAGTTAAAAAAACAGAATTTCCAGTTAAATTTGAATTTCAGATCAACAAAAAACATTGCAAATACAATAAATACAAACTTTGCATGAGAATTACACTAAAAAAAACTGTTTTTATCTGAAATTTAAATTTAACTGGATTATTTTATTTTACCTGACAGTCCTGCTTAGTTAACAACAAACTTTCTTATCTTTTAAATTGTTAGGTGTTCCATGGCTTGGTGTGGGGTTTCACTCAATTTTCTGCTTACACCTCTCTGTGAACCCTTAGTGATATAGCCCAGGGTCTGGGGGCAGGAAAGGAATAGTCAGCAAAGGAAACGTAGACTGTTGCTCCTGTGAGAGTGGAAAGGACTTGGAAAAAGAGAAGGTAATAAAGGACAACAGGAGATGCTTGGAAGCAGGCCCTGAGGAATCCAGTGAGAGCAGTTTATTTGGAAGGTGAACACCACTGAAAGGAGAGTTGTGACAGCGTGCAATACCAAGCAAGTCACCACTAAGAGTAGCTAGAGCTGAATTTAGCAGAGGTCTTCTAGAAACCAGTGTAAATACTGTCACGGTGTGTTTCCTGTCTTTCCCCAAGGGGTATAAACTTTCTACTTCACGACCAGCGAAAATGTTTTCTCCGCTGGCCTGAGAGGTTGTTTGCAGCTTTGCTCCCAGTGGCTTCAGGCTTTTGTTCCTCAGGGGAGAAATTACCAGGGCAGGCTTTGCGTCTTTTGTTCAAGGACTGCTCTTCACCACCCCTAGGCCTGCCGCAGAAGGGCAACTTTCACTTCCAGTAAAGTCCCTTCAAGTGGGTGAGATTTACTGTTGGATCTGCAGCTCTGACAGCTCATAGAAACCCACGCTCTGCCTTCAGCAACGTGTTAAAAACATCAGCTGAATTTTTTGTAACAGTTTATAGGAATTGCTCTTTGTTACCCCAAGTAAGCAAATTTTCATGCCCTGTATCTCCTTGAAGGGGCCTTTCTTCCCTTAGTTTTCAGTTCAGTTGACTGCCCTGTGGCCTTAGATTTCTGAGTTTAAGAGAAGTTTTAAGTTTTCAAATTACCTAGCTTTACGTAGTTGTTGTGAAAAGAATGACGCCCTTTCCAGTTTTCTACATGCCGAGTGAACCCGAGTCTTCCTCTCCAGTGGCTGTGGGCTGCAGAGGCCCCGACGTTGAAGCGGTGGCTCAGCTGGAGAGGGGTCAATGTCAGCCGCATTTTGGAGTCAAGGCTGCAATGAGAGGAAAGAACTAACTTATCAAAACTGATTTTGCATCGGGGTTAGCTCCTGTAAGTTTCCAAAGCAACTGGAGCAATAGGGAGATCTCCAGTTTTAACCATTGACCTGTGACATATATTGCATGAAACCCCCTACAAAGATATTATTATAAAAGTTGGACAAAATTCTAAAACAACTGAAACTAAAACATAACTTGAGGTACTCCAATTGGTCATGACTTACTGTTTATAATTTACCCGCCTGCAAGAAAAAAAGTAACTTCTTTGTAGAACGATTGCATTCATAGTCTCTATTGTTTTTGTATAAAATGCCTGGCATTTAATATAAAAATTATGAGGAAGCCTTAAAAAAAAAAAAAGACCAAAAGGCAAAACACCAATTAACAAGCCAAATGTTTCAGACACTGATAATATCAGAAAGGAAATTTAAAATAAAAACTATTTTTGTGTTCAACTAGAGAAAAATATAAAGAATTGCAACAACATGGAAATAATTCAAGAGTCAAATAAAAGTTCTAGAACTGGGATAAATCATAATTGAAATTGAACATAATTTCATTAAGGATTAAGTGACAGCAAAATGGAATCCAAGAGATAAATACTTTTAAGAAGGCAAGAGTAGCCATTGGCATCAAATACTTCTAAGAGAAAGCAGCTAAGCAAATATTGTTGCATCTGTATCTATGATACTGTCCCCAAGTAAATGTCCCAGAAAAACTACCTACCTGTAAGTTAAAAGACAAGAAATATTTAATGGATGTAGTGAAAATATCATCTTTGTTGAATTTGGTTAGACTCATTTTGTTCAATGAAAGAGAAGAATTCAGCTTGGGCTGGGTTGATGATGAGACCCTACCGAGCTAGGGCGAGATTGGGTGTGCGTGTGTGTGTGTGTGTGTGTGTGTGTGTGTGTGTGGTATTTGCAAAACAGGATAAAAGTGAGCTTTAAAAAAATAATTGAGGTACTGATCCAGCCACAGATTTGTCTTCCTTTCTTTCAATGCATCTGAGAGCACCATTAGTCTTGGATTTACAAGCCGGTTCATTAATTTCTATGACATTCCTTACAACATGCCTTCTGATAACGAAATTCATTTCAAGGCAAAGAAAGTGGGACAATGAAAAACAATTCGCTGGACATGCCCCACCACCCAAAAACAGCTAGGTTACCAGAGCAGAGGAATGACTTGCATGTTTTTTAAGACTCGCTGTGGTATAATCTGAGAGACAATATATTATATATAATTTTGTTTGGCTTGCCATGGGTATTTTTACTTTATTATACTATGGCATATAAACAAATTTAGTGTTATATTGTCAACTGTATCAATCTTTTGAATGACTTTTCTTCTCTCATTTCTAAAATTCTTTCCGACCTCAAGATAATAATAAATAAATCCACCAATGTGAATTTTCTTCTAAAATGTTAATATTTTCATTCTTTATGTGCAAATATATGGTGCACCAAGGAGGGCTAGAAGAGCTAGTCTCTTTCCTCCACAAGAAGCTTTTTCTTTTTTTTATGTGAGGTATTATTGCCCGTGGATCTTTATTTGAACTAGGTAGCCAGAATGCTTGGGTCAGGTTTCTCAACTCTAGCACTTCACATCTGTGTGATATTAGATAAGTATATTACCTCTGTATGGCTCACTTCCCCATCTGTAAAATAAAGGTGATAATAATAATACTTTACAGAACTTTAAAGATGAAACCAGCACTAGTAAAGTGCTTAGGATGAGATAACCATTATATGTTTTGCATATTTTTTTCTTTTAAATGTTGCTGGCAAGATGTTCACTCTTATATATTCAGATGAATTTTGATAGCATTTTTTCCAGTACGAGGGGAAAAACCTATTAGTATTTTAATTTAGTTGATATTGAATGTTTAGATACATTTAGGAAAAGTGACTTTTTTCTTATGATATTGAGCTTATAATCCAGAAACATGTTTTCCTATTTTTAATTTTTTCTTTTGTTCGAAAGTTTTAAAGTTTTCTTTATTTTGGTTGTGCATATTCTTAATTATCTTGAATCTCTATTTTTTTTTATTCTTAATAGCTCTTGTAAAAGAGACCTTTTTTATTTTATCTTTACTGTCTATCCTAATATATAATAAAACAATTAACTTTTTATTAAATATTTTAAAAAACCTTTAGGCAGTCTCTTTAGTAAAAAACAAACAAAACACCTATTATATGGTATTTATGTGTGGTAATACCAATATGAATTTTAAGGTTAGATTTATTAATGAAAATTTGAAAGAACTTACCACACTCAAAAACAATCATCCTACAACCTCCACCTCCACCTCACATACTTGATCAAGAAACGAATGAACCTCTGCCTCTCGAGAATGCTCTATCATACTTATTGGACGCCTGCTTGCATAACCCAGGAAACTCATTTCCTTCATCCTTTTGGTAGCTTAGCTGAGAGCTGGCTCAAAATTATAGAGCCAGTCTGCAGAAAGACAGTATGGCTGATCTCAGCTTTCCAGGCCTGCAAAGCTATTTTTAGGGCCTTTGATATTCCCACTTTGGTCATCAATATGCATACTCCCCAGCGTGGTTCCTGGGCCCAGGGGTCCCTTAGTATATTTTTTGATGCTAAGAAACTAGGTGTGCCCTGCCTCCTCTTAGTTTAACCTGTGCTCCTGTAACAAGGTGGTAAGATGGAACTTATACTCTTCCTTTCTCTAGGAGTGTTCTTTGTGTACGTGCAGTTTCCTGGCTACAGCAAACCCCCTCTATCAGAACCTTTGCCATCACAAGTCCAGAACATTGTGCCAGGACATTTCTGTAGAGTAGCGAGTGTTTGAGGATTGTGTCCTTTTTATCACTCTCTCCAACAAATTCTGTTATATCTTCATCATTTTGCACTAGAGAGTCATACCCCTTGCACAACACTGATAATACCCAGACACAATTTTGAAAACTACTCTGTAGCTGGTACATATAGAGAAATAAGAAAAAGGAAGAGAAAAGAGGAAGGATTTCCATTTTGCATGAGCTCCCTGTTCTTGTCTGAGCCCATAATAGGGCTGCAACTCATTTGAACATCTGTGGGAGGTTGGTACAGTGGATTTAAAAAACAGGAGTTTAAACTTGTAAGTTTAAATTTCAGTTTATAAACAGAATTCAAAAATCACAACTGCTGTTTAACATTCAACTGTTAGTTTACCTTCATTTTTTTTTTCAGTTTGTCATGCTTTCTTTTCATAGCCATCAATGTCTGAAGTTACTTATGCAGATCTAAAATTCCAGGACTCCAGCAAGATAAAATGTACTCAGAACTTTGACCAAGTTGGTGTAAAAGGTAAGATTTTGAACTATGGATGTTTTGTAAGTTGATAGAAGTAGAGCGTAGAAGGTGATAGAAGGGTAAGTGTTGTAGCCCGGCACCTTAGATAGTAATAAATTGACAATGATCTTTCAACTTGAAATTTTAATTAAGCTTCTCATTTTTATTAAAGGCACCGAAAGTGTTCATATAAAGTTATGATAAAGGGTTTTTTAAAGGCACTGATCAGCATCTTAAACATTCAATCTTTTATAAATTTTCTATTTTTTAATATCACCCTGAAGATAATAAAGAGGATAGTATTTTTATATGGCTGGATGGTGAAATGTTTGTTTTTCCCCATGAAAGGAGACCAAGACAAGTCATAATTTTGTATATTCTTTTTTATAGGAAAATGCTTGTGTGTGCACGTGCCTACCGAGAGAGAGACACAGACAGAGGCACTTGATTTTATATGATATTCTACCAAGTCAAGCATATATTGTCCTAATACTTCTCCTATTCTTCTGGCAATCTTTTCCCAAGTTACTAAAATATAGAAGAGTTTAAATTAAAAAAAGGACACATTAAAGGATTAAGGAAAAAGAGAGACAAAGAAATATTTGAAGATAAAAGATTCAAAACTACACTATACCTGGAAGCTTTGTATTCTTCCATTCTAATTTAAATCATGATATAAATGGAATACCTGTGTTGACTACCAGTTTGTATTTCATTAAAATATTCTTTAATTTCCATCCTACTTGTAATCCCATATTCCCCTTATTATACACAGTTCCTATCTGCTGGCTCCTGGCCTTTTGAATGAAATCTGCCCAAGCATATCCATACTTGAACTCAATGTATTTAGGTTAGAAATAATGTGAACAGTAGTTATGGAGAACTCAGGAAGTTTACAGAAATAGTGAAATTTTGAGAGGGGAGTAATAGAAGAATTCTCATATATTATTTCTTATTTTTCTCAAAAAGGTAACATTCTTTTAAATGCTAATATTACTCTGAATACAATCTTTGTCGTTAGATCTTGGACCTATTTATCATCAACATTGTAAAATTTGGGAAAAAAATAGCTAAATCTTGTAAGATTTTCCTTTAATACAGATTTCTTTGAAAGAAGGAACAATTAAAAATTTTGCAATATTTTCTATCTTAATTTCCTTGCTTGTATTTCTCCATTTTATGGTATAAGAAGATGAATACAACATTAATTTAATATACAAACAATGATCTTTTTTCCCCTACTACATTCATTCTCATCTTTTGTTCTACTAATCTGCCTTATCCTAAATTTCCACTTTAGAAATTCTTTGACTCTGGAAAACTTGAACTCATGTCTTACTTGCTCCTGAATTTTGTCAATTTTTCTCAATATCCAGCTTAAAGTCTATATTGTATAACATGAACTTTATATTATGTAACATTTTCCTCTGTTACTATCTTCAATATATCCCTTCACTGTACTGTGTTTTTTTTCCTTGAAAAACTTCAGTTGTGCTTTGAAATCAGAGAATGTACTGTCTCTAGCTTTGTTCTTCTTTCTGAAGATTGCTCTTGCTAATTTGTGGCTTTTTGTGGTTCTATACAAATTTTAGCATTGTTTGATCTATTTCTGAGAAAAATACAATTAGAATTTTAATAAGAATTACACTGATTCTATATATTGCTTGAGTAGCATGGATGTTTTAGCAATATTAATTATTTCAATCCATGAGCAGAGAATAACTTTCCATTCATTTATATTCTCATCAGTCCTTTCCTTAATGTCTTGCAGTCTTCAACATACAAGTTTTCACATCCTTGTTTAAATTTATTTTTAGGTATTTTATTCTTTTATGATGTCATTGTAAATGAGATTTTTATCTTAATATCTCTTTCAGATAGTTCATTTTTAGTGTATAGAAATGCAACAGATTTTTGCATATTGAATTTGTATCCTACAGCTTTACTGAATTTTTTTATTAGTTCTAACTTTTTAAAAAATGTTTTAGGATTTCTATATATATATAATATCATATCATTTGCAAAAAGTGACAGTTGTACTTTTTCCTTTCCAATTTGGATGGCTAGGACTTCTAATACCATGTTGAATAAAAGTGGCAAGAATGGGAATCCTTGAATTGCTCTGGAAAATCTTTTAGCTTTTCACCAGCAAGTGTGATGTTAGCTAGGGGCTTGTTGTATATGGTCATTATTATGTTCAGGTATATTCTCTCTATACCCACTTTGAATTTTATTATAAATTGAGGTTGAATTTTATAATATACTTTTTTTGCATCTATTGAGATGATCATATGATTTTTGTTCTTTTTTTATTAGTGTGGTGTATCACACTGACTGATGTGTGGAAGTTGAACCATCTTTGAGTCCCTGGAATAAACTCCATTTAATCAGGGTGTATAACTTTTTAAATGATTGTTTAATTCATTTTGTTCAGGATTTTTGCATCTATATTCATAAGGAATATTGGTCTGTAATTTTCTTTTCTAGCAGTATCCCTGACTGCTTTTGGTATCAGAGTAATGCTGGCCTCTTAAGTGAGTTTGGAAGTGTTCCCTCTTGTTCTATTTTTTGAAAGAGTTTAAGAAGGATTAGTGTTAATTTTTCTTTGAATATTTGGTAAAATATTCTAGTAAAGTTGTCTGGTCCTGGACTTTTGTTTGTTGAGAGATTTTTTATTACTGATTCAATCTCCTTATAAGTACTAAGTCTGTTCAAATTTTCATTTGATTATGATTAAGTCTTGGTTGACTGTATGCTTTTAAAAATTTATTAATATTTTTAGTCTACTTTGTTTGCATATAATTAATTGTTCACAGTAGTGTCTTATGATCTTGTATTTCTGTGGTATCAGTTGTAACATTTCCTCTTCCCTTTTTTTATTTTACTTAAGTACAATAATTAATTTAGCATATAAAGTTCATAAATCATTTTTTATTAAGAGAACTAAATTTTTTTTTTAATTTTTTAGTTTTTTTTGTTCAAATACATTTGCCTCCACCTTCCCACCACCACTTCCCCCTGCATTTTTTAAATAAGGAAATTGCTTAAGACTTTACCCTTTAATAAAAATAAATCAACAAAAGTTTGTTGTTAAAAAACAATACAAACTTTTAAGGAATAAATGATATAGTTTTTGTAAGGACATCCAGAGAAATTACAAGGAGACAGACTATCATTTATGTTCCAGAGATATGATTTTCAGGGAAAAACATAAATAACTGAAATTATTTTCTTTGACACCCCACAATTGTCCCCTGAAGAGAATACTCAAATTGACTTCTGTTAGCTGCCAGCTACTCAGTTCCTCCAATTTTTACAGAAAAGATATATTGTATCCAGATTGGTTTACTCACTTCTCTTTTTTTAAAATCTTTTTTGGCCTGTGTTTACTGAATCAGCTTACCAATTAACAAACTCCCCTTGAGAACTAGTTTGCATGCAAAATAACTAACAAAATGTTTTTTGCTATTTCTTGACATTTTTTAAAGTATTTTAAAATATCCTTGAGTTTCATTCCTTTAACAGGGATATATTAGGAAAGAAAAATATGCAGACAGAATGAATGAATGAATGAATCAGTCAAATTAAGATGTAAAAGATTTCCAGTTCTCTTTGTCAATTTTGCTTTCCACAGCACCTCCTGCTCCTTCCCATGGGTGGCATCAAAGAGACTTGGCTCTTATTCTTCTGTGCCTTCTGCTGATGACTGGATTGGGCGTCTTAGGAAGCATATGTATGTATTACCAATGTTTTGATTGAAAGGAAAGACACCTAGAATTCTATGAGTTTTATAAGGAAGTTCAATCTTTGAATAGAAGCTTTGGAATGATTATGTCATATATAAACAAAAAGAGGACATATAACGAAGTGTTTACAGTATGGTAGTCTCCCTCACACCTATGAAATGAATGCTTCTCTAGTCTTTTAATATTCTTTTCTTAAAATATTTTTATTATTGTTCCATTATAGTTGTCCCCATTTTCCCCCATTGCTCCACTCTCCCCTGCCCAACCTCCCCTCCCACATTCAATCCTCCCCTCTGTGGTCTTGGTCCATTGGTCCTTTATACCCGTTCCTTGACTTGACGCTTGCCCTTCATTCTCTCATTATCCCCCTCCCCGCCTCCCCTCTGCTCACTGTCAGATTGTTTTTTATTTACACGTGTCTGGTTCTATTTTGCTCATTTGTTTGTTTTGTTGATGAGGTTACACTTACAGGTGAGATCTTATGGTATTTGTCTTTCATCTCCTGACTTGTTTCACTTAAGATAATGCTCTCCAGCTCCCTCCATGCTGTTGTGAAGGATAGGAGTTCCTTCTTTCTGCTTCAGAGTTTTCCATTGTGTAAATGTGCCACAATTTTTTGATCCACCCATTTACTGATGGGCACTTAGGCTGTTTCCAGCACTTGACTACTGTACTACTATAAATAATGCTGCTCTGAATATTGGGGTGTATAGGTTCTTTGAAATTGGTGTTTTAGGATTCTTAGGGTATAATCCCAGCAGAGGGATCACTGGATCAAAAGGCAGTTCAATTAGTTTTTCCTCAATTTTAGTTTTTTAAGGAAATTCCATACTGCTTTCCACAATCACTATACCAGTCTGCATTCCCACCAGCAGTGCACTAGGGCTTCCTTTTCTCCACAACCTCACCAGCCCTCGTTGATTGTTGATTTATTAATGATGGCCATTCTGACCAGTGTGCAGTGGTATCTCATTGTGGTTTTAATTTGCATTTCTCTGATGGTTAGTAATGCTGAGCATCCTTTTGTATCTCTGGGCCTTCTGTATGTCCTCCTTGGAGAAGTGTCTGTTCAGGTCCTTTGCCCATTTTTTAATTGGATTGTTTGTCTTCCTGATGTGGAGTCATATGAATTCTTTATATATTTTAGAGATCAAAGCCTTGTCCAAGGTATCATTGACAAATACATTTTCCCATACAGTTGGTTCCCTTTCCATTTTGCTCATGTTTTCTTCAGTCATGCAGAAAGAAGCTTTATAGTTTAATGTAGTCCCATTTGTTAACCCTTTCCTTTATATCCCTTGCTGTAAGGGACATATCTGTGAAAATATTGCTGCATGGAATATCTGAAATATTCCTGCCTATGTTTTCTTCTTGGACTTTTATGGTGTTATGACTTGTACTTAAGTCTTTTATCCATTTTGAGTTTATTTTTTGGTATAGTATAAGATGGCGGTCTAATTTCACTTTTTTGCCTGTACTTATTCATATCTCCCAACACCATCTTTTGAAGAGGCTATTTTTACTCCATTTAATGCTCCTGCCCCTTTGTTGAATATTAATCAAACATAGAGATATGAGTTTATTTCTGGGCTTTCCATTCTGTTCCATTGATCTATGTGTCTCTTCTTAGGCCAGTACCAGGCTGTTTTGATTACACTGGATTTGTAATCAAAATAGTTTGCTATCAGGTATTGTAATCCCTCCTACTTTGTTCCTTTTTTCTCAAAATTGTTGAGGTTATCTTGGGCCATTTATGGTTCCATATAAACATTTGAAATATTTGTTCTATATCTGTGAAATATGTCATTGGTATTTTAATAGAGATTGCATTGAATCTATAAATTCCTTTATGGACATTTTAATGATGCTAATTCTTCCAATCTATGAACATGGTATATGCTTCCATTTATTTGTGTCTTTCTTAATTTCTTCAGTGTTTTGTAGTTTTCTGAGTTTAGGTCTTTTACCTCCTTGGTTAGGTTTATTGCTAAGCATTTTATTTTTCTTGCTGTTATTGTAAATGGGATTTTTTTTCCCTAATTTGTCTTTCTGCTATTTAATTGTTAGTATACACAAATACCTTCAATTTCTGAATATTGACTTTGTATTCTGCAGTTTTGCCAAATTCACCAATTATGTAGAGTAGTTTTTTGGTGGAGTCTGTATGGTTTTCTATGTACACTATCATGTCATCTGCAACAATGACAGTTTTACTTCCTCCTTTCCAATTTGGATGCCTTTTATTTCTTTATATTGTCTGATCACTGTAGTTAGAATTCCCAATACTATGTTGAATAGAGGTGGTGAAAGTGGACAACCACATCTTGTTTCCGATCTTAGTGGGAAAGCTTTCAGGTTTTTCCTGTTGAGCATATGTTGGCTGTAGGTTTCTCATATATGGCCTTTATTATGTTTAGGAATGCCCCCCTTACTCTCACTTTGCTGAGTGTTTTTATCATAAATGGGTGCTATATCTTATCAAATGCTTTTTCCACATCTATTGATATGGTCATGTGATTTTTGTCTTTCCTTTTGTTTATCTGATGTATTACACTTATTACATTTATTGATTTGCAAATATTGTACCATCCTTACATCCCTGGTGTGAATCCCACTTGATCATGGTGTATGGTTTTTTGAGTGTATTGCTGGATCTGGTTTGCCAATATTTTGTTGAGGATTTTAGCATCTATGTTCATCAGTGCTATTGGCCTGTAGCTTTCTTATCTGGTTTTGGGATTAGGATGATGCTGGCCTCATAAAAAGAGTTTGGAAGTTTTCCTCCTTCTCGGATTTTTTGGAATAGTCTGAGAAGGACAGGGGTTAACTCTTCCTTAAATGTTTTGTAAAATTCTCCTGTGAAACCATCTAGACCAGGCCTTCCGGGTGCCGGGAGTTTTTTGATTACTTCTTTAATTTCACTAGTTGTTTTTGGTCTGTTCAGGCTTTCTGTTTGTTCTTGATTCAGTTTTTGAAGATTATTTATTTCTAGAAATTTGTACATTTCACCTGGGTTTTCAAATTTCTTGGCATATAGCATTCATAGTAATTTCTTATGATCCTTTGTACTTCTGAGGTATTGGTTGTAATTTCTTCTCTTTCTTTTCTGATTTTATTCATTTGGATCCTCTCTCTTTTTTTTTTGATGGGCCTGGTTAAAGGCTTGTCGATTTTGTTGATTTTGTTTATCTTTTCAAAGAATCAGCTCTTGTATTTACTGATCCTTTGAATTGTTCTTTTAGTCTCTATATCATTTAATTCTCTCTCTGCTGTTGATTATTTCCTTTCTTCTACTCACTCTGGACTTTGTTTTTTGTTGTTCCTCCAGTTATTGTAGACATATGGCTAGGTTGTTTATTTGAAGTTTTTCTATCTCTCTTAGATAGGTCTGTATTGCTATGAAGTTCTTTCTCAGGACTGCCTACACTGTGTCCCACAGGTTTTGGGTTCTTGTGTGTTCATTTTCATTTGTTTCCAGAAGCTTTTTGATATCTTCTTTGATCTCATTGTTAACCCATTTATTGTTTAATAACGTGTTATTCAGTCTCCATGAATTTGACTGTTTTTGAGTTTTTTTCCTTTAGGTTGGTTTCTAGTTTCAAGCCATTGTGATCTGAGAAAATGCTTGATATGATTTCAATTTTCTTGAATTTTTTGAGGCTTGTTTTGTGACATAATGTAAGGTCTATCTTTGAAAGTGTTTCAGTTGTATTTAACAAGAATGTGTATTTTGCTTCTTTGGGGTGAAAGGTTCTGTATATATCAATTAAGTCCTTTGATCTAGTGTGTCATTCAGCACCACAATATTCTTGTTGATTTTCTCTAGAAGATCTATCCATTGTTGACAGTGGGGGTGTTAAAATCTCCTAGTATAAGTGTGTTGCTCTCTATATCTTTCTTGAAGTCCTCCAAGATTTTCTATATATATTTTGGTGTTCTTATGTTGGGTGCATATATGTTTACAATGTTTATGTCTTCTTAATGACTTCTATCATTGGGTATTAGGAAGTGTCTTTCTGTGTCTCTTTACGGCCTTTGTTTTGAAGTCTATTTTGTCTGATATTAGTATTGCAACCCTGGCTTTCTTTTCCTGTCCATTTTCTTGATATATTTTCTTTCAACCCTTCACTTTCCATCTGAATAGGTCTTTTGTTCTCAGGTGGGTCTCTTGAAGGCAGCATATATACAGGTCATGTTTTCTTATCCATTTAGCTACCCTATGTCTTTTGATCAGAGCATTTAATCCATTTACATTTAAGATTATTATTGACAGGTGCTTATTCATTGCCATGTTTTCCCTTTGTAGCTGTGTTCCTTACTTTCACACTCTATTTCTTCATCTTTTTAAAGCAGTCCCTTCAGCATGTCCTGCAATTCTGGTTTGGTGGAGGAATATTCTCATAGCCTTCTCTTATCTGGGAAACTCTTTATTTCACCTTTCATTTTAACTGAGAGCCTTGCTGGGTAGAGTAGTTGTGGTTGCAGGCCTTTGCTTTTCATAACTTGGAATATTTCTTGCCATTCCCACTGACTTGTAGTGTTTCTGTTGGGTAATCAGCTGATAGCCTTATTGGGGTTCCCTTGTATATTACTTCCTGTTTCTCCCTTGCTGCCTTTAGATTTTCTCTTTGTCTTTTAATTTTGCCATTTTAATTATGATGTGTCTTGGAGTGTGCCTCTTTGGATTGACCTTGATTCGGACCCTCTGTGCTTCCTGGACTTGTGTGACTTTTTCTCTTATCAAATTAGGGAAGTTTTCTATCATTACCTTTTGAAATAAGTTTCCTACCCTTTGCTGCTCTTCTTCTCCTTCTGGTGTGCCTATTAGACAGATAATACTACATTTCATGTTGTCCTACAGTTTCCTTAATCCCACTTCATTTTTTTTTTTTTTTAGTCTTTTTTTTCCTTTTCTGGCTCTTTCTGGAATATTTTTTCTACTTTGTCCTCCAGCTCACAGATTCGATCCTTTGCTTCATCTACCCCGATTTTAATTCCTTCTAAGTGTTTTTCAATTCAGAAACTGTATTCTTCATTTTCTCCTGGCTCTTACTGATGGTTTCTATGTCATTTTTTCATGCTGATGTAGTTCGCAGTAAGATCCTTATAGCTTCCTGTTTCATTGAGCTTCCTTATAACCATTGTTTTGAACTCAATATCTTATAGTTTACTTGCCTCTATTTTACTTAGCACTCTTTCTGGGGATTCCTTCTTTCCTTTTGATTAGGGGTTGTTTCTTTGTCTCCCCATCTTAAGGGAGGCTCTTCTTGTTTGTTTCTACTTTTCAAATTGATCTGTTTTGACTCCCTGTCTTTGTGGTGTGAACTTCTATGGTAAGAGACCTGTGGTATTCAATTGTGCAGATTCCTTGATCTTCTGAACTCGATGCTCTTGAGATGCTCTTTATGCCATTTATGTTCGTTCTTTGGATGTAATTGGGTTGTGATTGCTGTTTAGACATTTTTGGTGGGTCCTTTCTTCCAGCTGGCTAACCAAGGGTCACTTCATGCATCATGTCTTGTATGCTCTTGTGCAGGTGCTGCCAGAACAAAAATACAAAGCCCAGGAAACAAACCCACAGAATCCCATTATCAACAGCAAATGAACCAGTATTAATAGGGTATAAAGAGATTAAGACTATTCTAAAAAAGGAAAAGCAAATATGAAATGACTAACTGAAAGAAAAATGAATTTGAGGGAGTAGAGGAAGATGCGTTAATAAATGTAGGGAATAGGAGCAATATGAAGAAAGAAAGTAAAATTGACATCATAAATAAAAAGAGAATGAAGAAGGTGGAATGGAGTAAGAGAAAGGAAGTGTATGGTATTAGGTTTAAACAAAATTTAAAAAAAAAGAAATGAGAGAGTGAAAGAAAAGGAAAGAAGTAAATAAATAATAAAAAATTAGGAAACAAATTGGAAAAAAGATCCCCCACAGTACTATCAACAGCAAATGAGCTAAGATTAATAAAGATGGGATGGGAATAAGATGGGGAAAAAGAAAGAAAAAAAACGCTTAAGGAAGTCCTAGCTAGTGTGGCTCAGTGGATTGAGTGCTGGCCTGCAAACCAAAGGGTTGCTGATTCAATCCCTAATCAGAGCATATGCCTGGGTTGTGGGCCAGGTCCCCAGAGGCAACCCCATTGATGTTTCTCTTCCACTCTTTCTCCCTGCCTTCCTCTCTCTCTAAAAATAAATAGATAAATTCTTTTTTTTAAAAAAAAGCTTAATAGATGTTTAGAGGAAAGGTAAGTGATTTTGAGATAATAGAAGGAGAAGGAATGCTAAAAGTGAGGAGTGAAAATCAGACTAAGACAGTGAAAAATTAAAATTTGACATGAAAATTTGAGGTGAAAGAAAAAGTAGAAAAGAAGAAAAAAGAGGCTAAGATAAAAAAGTTAAAATTTGAGATAAAAAAGAACAGGCAGTATGAAGGCAGAATAGAGTAGGAGATGGGAATGATAAAATTTGAGATTTGAAATACAAGGATAATGAAGATCTAGAGATAAAACTGGAAAAAAACGTAACAACAACCACCTTATCCACAAACAATAATCAAAGATTGCTAAAGGTGGAGAGAGAACACAGGTATTTTACGAGCAGGAAAAAAGACTGTGAGATTACCATTGACAAGAAAATTGGTTTTGAGAGGCTAGATGGGAGAGAAATAGTAAGAGTGTTGAATGGAAGCAAGCAAGAGAAAAAACAAAATTTAAAATGAAAATAATAAGATGAAAGAAGAAGGTAAAATGGGGTAAGAGAAGGGAGGAACAAAATGTAAGAATTGAAACAAACTATAATATAAAATCTAGTGACTTAATATGCATACTTGAAGTGACTTGAAGGACAAGAAATGAATGTTAAAAAAACTATGCAGTAAAGAAAATATTGCACATCATGGAGAAGACCATGGTGGATTTTGTCTTGGTAGCATCTAGTATTTACCATTGTTTTTAAATTCTGGATCCACCTCTGGTGATGTCAGATGATGTTCCTGTGTGATCTTAGTCAGCCTGTTCGAGACTACCATAATCTACTGTTTGTAACTGACTCCTTCAGTTGTTAATCTAACCATTCTGAATTCAGTAGTCAGTCTTAAGCACCACAATGAGGGGCGGAGTATCTCCTAGGGGTGGGGCTATGGCTTTCCCTCAGGCTGATGCCACTCAGAGGAGAGTGGTATGCCTGAGCGTGATGGCTCCTACAGTCTGGGAGATGACTCAGCACTGGTTCTAGGTGGCTGCTCTCTCAGTTCTCTCTCCAAAGCTACCACTTCCAGGCTCTCTTCAAGCATCTCTAGTCCACTCTGCTTCCCACCTTGCCAGAGCCCAGGGTAAGTGGCTGCATATGAAAAGTTTATGCATTAGCCCTTTAAACACCTCTCTGCTTCTCCAGCCATCCATCTGTAGCAGAGAGAAACCTTGCCGCTTTTTGCAGCTAGATGTTACCTGTACACTTTTTGGGCTCTGGTGCTGTAGGCTGGGGAGCCCAGCTTTGTGTTTAGACCCTACACTTCTCAGGGGGATTCTTCCGACCACTGAGCTATCCCTTCAGCACTTCAGCCACTACCTGTGGGGGCCCAGCCAGCCCTCTTGCAGCTCCCCCCACAATCCCTACCAGTCGCATTGTGTTGAAGTTATTTCTTCCTACTGTACATAGTTATAAGGCTACTCTCCCACTATTGTTCAGTTGTTTATTGTGGATGATTTCTTCACAATTTAGTTGTAATTCCAGATTGGTTCCGGGAGGAAGTTAGTGTAACTTCCACTCATTCCTCCAACATCTTGGATCCTTCTAATATGCTTAATACTATTTCAGCAAAACGGAAGTGATGGTTCTACTAAGGGATTTTTTTTATCATTTTCTTTCTCTGATCTGGAGTTCATAAAACTTCAAAGATAGAAACAGAAAAATTTAAAAATCTACAAAATCTCAAAGAAGAACTTCAGAGAAATGTTTCTCTACAACTGACATATAATATGGATAGTTTCAAGAAGATCAGGAACCTCTCTATCACACTTCAAGAAATGGCCACCAAATTATGTTACGAGCTATGTAGAAAAGAACCAGGTAATCCTATATTCATCTCTTGTTATTCATTAGACAATGAACTAAACCTAAGTGTCACTTGAGAATCAGTCTTTTCCTAGGAAGTCATTTTAGGGGAAAAGGAATTAAATGTAGTTGACAGAGGATTTGATATTTCCATTCAGTTAGAAGAATAACAGAAAAAGTAATAATAACATAGGCCCCAAAATTACAGGGGATGAAAATAACTTAATGAAATATTAAACAATATGCAGTTTCTCTAATGTGGCAGTTGCTAGATTTGTGGGGTACTAAGGTCAATAGAAGGTAGGGAGAAAAGGTTATCTCTTTATAGGTGACCTCATTCTTAAATTTCAGTGAATTTTTCACTTTTGTTTTTTATTTATTTTTATTTTATTTTATTATTGTTAAATTACTGTTGTTTCACCCTTTCCCCCACTGCTCACCTCAGTGCATTTTTAATGAGAGTCAAGAGTAAGTAAAGTTAAGCCTTACTCTTGGAATTGGAAGAAATTTTTTTTTTAATATCTCTAACACTTTCTATCACTGTAATAACTAAAGTATGTTCTTTGTGCCCTTGCAAAGTCACCCAAATATTCAACAAGTTAGAGCTAGAAATGGTCTAGTTGGAAAAGGCAGGATTGATGTTGGTTTGTGGGGTTGATTCTCACCACCCAATGTTTCTTGTGATTAGCCTTTATTATTAAGTAGTAATTTTAAAAAATAGCAAAAAGAGAACAAAATTCTATATCTATCCAGGGATCCTGAGATAAGAAAATATACTGGAATCCAACTGTTTAATTTGAAGTGTGTTGTTCAAATTATTGGGTTGGCTAAAAAATTTATTTAGTTGTTTTTTTTTTCTGTGCAATAGCTCTAGTGGTGCTTAGTTGTCTTTAACTTCATTCAAATAATTTTTTTAGATTGTATTGTAACAACTGTCATATCAGCTTGCATTTTAAAATAAAACATCTAAATTGGTGAATTTTTGTGCAGCCATTTTAATATTGAAGATGAAAAAATATGCAACATTATTGCTGTATTATGCTTTATTATTTCAAGAAAGGTAAAAATTAACTGAAATGCAAAAAAAGATTTGTGTACTATATGGAGAAGGTACTGTGACTGATCGAACATGTCAAAAGTGGTTTCCAAAGTTCCTTGGTACTATTGACATTTTTGCCAAATAATTCTTTGCCGTGGGGTTGTCTTACACATTGGAAGATGTTTAGCAGCCACCCTTGGCCTCTAGAAGCTAATAGTGTGAGATAGCTGACATACTCAAAATTTCCAAATCAATAAAGTTATTGGGAAAAATGAAAAATGTGTCTTTTATGGAAAAAACTAGATGGACTTTTTGGCCAACCCAATATGTTGAAACACTGTGGAGGTATATAGGGGCTTAACATATAAATGCATTTTCTTTGTCTTTGTTGTAAGAAGAATAAAGACAAGTACATTTGGTTAATTTAACATAGAGGACAATGAGAATAATGAGAATGATGAAGATTATCAACACACACCAAATGAAACTGTATTCTTCTTCTAGAGCATAAATGTAAACCTTGTCCAAAGGAATGGATATGGCATGAAGACCACTGTTATAAACTATTTAAAAAGTATGACACATGGCAAAAGAGCAACATGACATGTTCTGCTCACAATGCCAGCTTGTTGAAGATTAAGAGTAAAAGTGTACTGGTAAGGTTTTATGGATCTCTGCTTGTGAGGAAGGAAGTCACTTTTCTCAAGATAGAATATGAGGAGTGATGCATTTTGGGGAGGACATGTATTAACCCAGGCATGATTCTCGCTTATTCTAGTTGGGGTATAAAGTGACTGAGTCTTAGCACATTTATGCCGGATAGCCAAGGAACAGCATATAAAACTTTAAGCTTAGAACTTTAGCATCAGTGGGCAGATGTATAGTAATGGGACACCCAGAATCAGGTCTGTAAACATTTCCAAGTGTGAGGATCAACTTGCTGAACACAGTTTATGAGCATTTATCAAAAAACAGAAAATCTGGAAATTATTCTTGAGGTTTACCAATTCCATAAAATGTACATAGGAGGAGAATCTTTATTTCCACCATTTTGCATTTCTTTAACTAAGAGAAAAAGCCAACATATACTAAAATAAGATCATAGTTTTGATAAAATATGTATTAAAAAACAGAATTAAGATGGAATGACAAAGGTAGATACATTGCATGGAGTCCCTGAATCCAAGGAGAAGTGAGCTCACTGGAAGATTTATTTATATATTTATTTTTAAAAACTATCTAAATGGCATCTTCTTATTTTACTTATTACTCAACATTTCTGGTCTCTCAGATAATAATCACATATTTATTTTTAAAACCAAAATTACATTTTCTCAAAAACCTCAGCTTCACTACTCAAGCAACTTTGTCCTTCTTTATAAAAAAGGCAAAAATCAATCTATAGCTCGTCCTTAGATGATCCATTCACAGTTATTTATTCAAAAACTATTATTTTGGCTACAAAAATCTGGACTGGTTTTAAATTCTATTCTATAACCACTCTCATCTGACTTTGTTACATTTTTCTCCTACTGTCTGTTTCTATTAATATATATTTATAGTAATTAGCCACCTCTCTGCCCACAGACTGAATATTTGCTGGTCAATATTTGAATCCTGAAGTTTGTGAACTACATTGACCCTAAATTAAGGTTATGCATGGATTGGTAGATCTTTCTCTATATAAGACAGTAACTGATGTGCAAATGCTGGAGGAAATCTTAGAGTAAAAAACACTCTCGATTTTCTTTAATGATATTGAAAACTAGTATTATAATGTGAAAAAAATGTTATCATAACGCAGTTATTTGTAAGAATTTATGTTATGAGGTAATATACAGAAATGGGAGATAGTTATTTTAACAAACCATCTCTATTTTCTGTAGGAATTTATAAAGTCCCAGAACATATATAACTATTGGCTAGGATTATCTCCCAGAAAAACTTACACAAAGTACAAAAACTTGGATGAGATATTTATCTCCTCTGATTGGTAAGTCTTTAGTTCTCCTTGAATGTTTCTAGTTGATCTGAATAAAGGAGTTTTCCTTAGGAGCATTGCAGGTTACAATTAAAATTGGCTTCAATTAAAACTGCATCTGTAAAGAATTCTTTTCTGTAAGTATTCCTTAATGTATCTAATAATTCAAGAAGTTGTCACAAATGTGTTCTCATTATATTCACAAGCCACTAACAAATTTATAGTAGTCAAACAAGAAGGAATTTCTATGAATAGTGTTTTTACCTAAGAGCACTGTGGAAGCCAACAAAATTTATTGGGTTCGAACATAAAGTGATGCTAAGTGCTGGGATTCATAGGTGAATGAAAGAGTGATTCTGCCCTTAGTTACTTAATCATTGATTGTATGATCAGACTAAGTTTAAAAATCTATAGATAAAAAAGAATAGAACATGATAATGCTTCAGTCAGAATAACAAAAAACACATTTTATATTAGCTTTGAACTTTTTATTAACGATCATTATTTATAAGCTCAATTTATAAGCTCATGATTTATTATCTTTGAAATTTGTGTTATAACTGACACTTGAAATGGCCATTTTTTGAGTGGAAATTTTAGAGATAGACTAGAATAGCAGTTCTGATAAAGAGAACAAAATGAACTTGAACATGATTATTGCATATATACTACATGAAAATATTTTGTTGTGTAATATATTAAAAATGTGATCATAAATGTATTCATAGGTTGTTTTTGTTATGCTTGTAATGGGAAAAATACAAGACTTACAGAAAAATAAGGTCAAATTTTATTTGTAGTTTATAATCCATTCCATTTGGGAAGCAGATAAAATTAGATTAAAGAAAGAAACCAGAGTGTTACCTGTTGGATACTGTTGCAAGCCCATGAATTTATACATCTGTGTTGGTCAAGGACGCACCAAGCAGGAGTGACCTCGGGGCGGGCCTGCTGGGGCCGCAGCACTGAATCTGAACTCTGTCATTCCTACACACGCGCGGCCTTGGACAGGCAGCAGACAGAAGCTTTGATTGCTTTTTTGTTTTGTTCTGGTTGGTTTTTTTCTTCCAATAAAGATAGTATGTGTAGGAATATGGGTTGAAAAGGCAAGGCAGCTCTATCTTCGGCAGTTTGCAATGACAGGACAGAATAGGTGATAAGTACAAACAGAGGAGAAAAGGATATATAGTTTAAAAATCTCTTTTGGATTGAAGCACTAAGGATAAAGGTAGTGTGTGTGTGAGGGAGGAGAGTATATGGAATCTTGTTTTGAAAAAGAAGAATTTCCATGTGTTTATTTATAATTTTTGCTAATTGAAAGATAACCTATGATGGGCTAAAAACATAATAGATATTTCTAATTATAATGAATACTAAAATAAAAATTACATAATAATTATGTGTATATAACACATTATATTTGTATATAACATATAATTACATATATATGTATATATAATTCCTTTTTGTTTTTTATTCCCAGTGTTATTTTTGAGGTTGTTTCTGAAAAGGGGTCTGATCAATGACATTTGTATTATGTCACCTCAAATAGGAATTTTCATTTTTGACAACTTAATTGATGAACTTATTTATTGATTAATGATCATTATTTATAAACTCTAGTGTTAATACTACATTTTTTCCAAAAAATAATATTTTCAATTTAGAAATTTGTCAATGCATAATCCCTAACCAATAACCTTGGGTAAGGGGCTGGTAAAAATCAGAACTTGAGTAGAATCTCTAAAAAATAGCTTGAGGGATACATTACTCATAACTGATGTCAAACTTAAGGTACCATACGTTAGGTTACTTCCTAATTTTGGTGATTATGAAAAACACTGGAGTAGGACAGTGTCAAATATTTACTACTGAGTCAGCTACACTAGAGAATCTCATGGAATTGCATTATTCTAAATCATATTAGGTATTAAGGAAGGGAGGTACTGCCTGAAAGAACAGCAAATACTCCATATGTGAGAAAGAGAAAAAGGCAGAGAAAAATAAAGCAGTGTTTGCCATTGTATGTGTCAAGAAAAATGAGTAACTTGGACACTCTTGATATTCTGAATGATAATTAAAATTTATTTTAGGCAATGCAGAGCCTAGGAACAATGATATATTGAAAAAGTAATTTTTGTGTGTGTGAATATGTTTCAAATGTTTGACTAGCTAAGTATAATTCTTTATTTTCTCTTTCAGGTTTACAAGAAACACAAATGAATTAAATGATGGAATGTTTTGTGGCTATACAAGAAATACAAAGTATGTTTTTTATGCTTCCTGCACTTCCTCAAAAGATACTGTATGTGAGAAGTTAGCTAATCCAGTGAAGATTGAGAGTACACTAATGAATGAAGAACCAGATGGAAGCATGTAGTTAGTGTAACTATTTTGCCTCAGATGTCCTGCAAGCAAAGGCAGCTTTAAAAGACATACATCTTGTGGACCACAAGAATGGAACAAAAATGCTATGAACCTAAACTTCTATCTCTTGCCTAACAATTTACATTTTCAAATCTATTCTTTCCCCTCATTTTGTAAGTAAAAGAAACCTAAAGTGAGACCTAAAGTCAAATCATATAATTTAGATATAGTCCAGATAATATTAATCATTGATACAGAGTTTTGGGTGAGAATACTGAAAATGAAAGTAATTTTTCCCTGTTTTTCCAGACATAAACAAGGTAAATACCAACCTTATGTTGAATCAGAAATAACCTGAATCTAGGAATGTATAGAAACATAATAAATCATGATCAATTGAGGTTTATTCTAGTAATACAGATTGATTTACATTTTGAGGGTAAGAAGAAAGATAGAAAATGGAATTGCTTGTCCTGCCCACAGGGCCTCAGCCAGAATGGATATCCATGAGCTTAGAGAATATTTGATCAACATGAATAAAACCTTACGAAACCTCATGTCTGACCAAGGGACACACATTCGAGCATGGATGTAGGGGAATGGACAACTGACCATGGAATCCACTTGTCATATCATGAACGAAAGCAAAATAAAGCTGAAGCAGATAGAACAATGGAAAAAACTAAGGGTTATTTGAAAGCACATATGTAAAGTCAGCTCTGAGTAAATATTTATGAGAACTAGATGCCATCTTCTGAGACAGTGTGTTTGCTTTAAATCGATAACCGTTACGCGGTGCTTTGTCTTCAGGAGGTGGAATACATGGGTCTGGGAACAAAGAGCAGAAGCAGGAGTGACCCTGCTTACCATCATTTCCATTAACTCAAGAAACGAGAGCCTTCGGTCAGACTAACTGAATTCTATGGGTTTAGAGAACCTGGTCCCTAAAACACAAGTCCTTTCACCGGGGACACATCTCTTAGGATGAATAACTGCCGTGGAATGAGCAAATGACTGATCAACAGGAGAAGGTAGGACTTCTGTTACACAATAAGGACAAGAAGAAATAGTTTGACACACAGTTGACCCATTTGAGTACATTATTATCTTTTATCATTTTGTATTTTTTAATTACATTGACATACAATATTACATTAGTTTCAGGTGTACACCCCAGTGATTAGACATTACATAACTTATTAAGCAATCATCTCAATAAATTTGTATGCATCTGACACCATACATAGTTATTAGAATATTATTGACTATATTTCTTATGTGATGCTTTACACCCTCATGACTATTCTATAACAACCAATTTGTACTTCTAAATCTTTTCACCTTTTTCACCCATCCCCAACCATTTTCCATCTGGCAGCCATCAAAAAGTTCTCCGTATCTATGAATCTGTTTCAGTTCTATTTTGTTTTATAAATTCAATTGCTGATAGATATGTATTTATTGCCATTTTATTGTTCATATTTCTAGTATTCTTTTCCTTATTTTTAAAAAAATCCTTTAATATTTCATGTAGTGCTGGTTTAGTGGTAATGAACTCCTTTAACTTATTGTTCTCTGGGAAGCTCTTTATTTGAAGGTCTGTCCAGAAAATATCCAGCCACAAACAATGAAAAATAGAGACATTTATTGAAGAAGATACAAGAAACACTGCACATAAGACAATGATGACTACGTCCCCTTCAAAGCAGGCACCTTGGGACCTCACACAGTTCTCCCAATTGCCATCAGCTGCCCTGTCATGTTTTCCTGAATCTCATCAAGGGTCTGAAATCTCGTCCCTTTCAAAGGTGATTTTAGTTTTGGGAAAACCTAGAAGTCGCAGGTTGCCAAATCTGTGATTTAGGGAAGCTGAGTCCCCTGGGTGATTTGATGCTTTGCTAAAAAAAAACTCTGCATGAGATGTGATGCATGAGTAGGCATGTTTTGTGATAAGGTTGCCAATAACCAGTCACCCATAGCTGCAGCCTTCTGAGTCATCTGAATAGTTTCTGCAGAGGAATGTTTAAGCTTAATGCAAAATTTGACAGAGATTCATTGCTTTACTTGTTCACTCATTTGAATGTGATGGCCACATAGTACACATGCTCACCTAACTGCGTCTTTGCCCCCACTGACTAGTACAGTGAATTCATCATTGTTTACACATGCACATTCCAGTCCACTCTCCTTCACTTCCAGGTTACATCAATATCATGCAAACCATTCTCATTATATTAACAATAGCTGGACTTTTTCTGACAGACCTTTTCACTTGTTCAACTCTAAATGATGGCTTTGCTGGGTAGAGTAATCTTGGTAGCAGGTCATTGCTTTTCATCACTTTGAGTATTTCTTGCCACTTCTTTCTGACCTGCAAAGTTTCTGTTGAGAAATCAGCTGACAATCTTATAGGAGCTCCCTTGCAGGTAACTAACTGCTTTTTTCTTGTTCTTTTAAGATTCTCTGTCTTTAACTTTTTGCATTTTAATTATGATATTTCTTGGTGTGGCCCTGTTTGGATTAATCTTTTTGGGACTCCGTGCTTCCTTTGACTTGTATGTCTATTTTCTTCACCAGGTTAGGGAAATTTTCTGTCCTTTTTTTCAAATAGGTTTTCATTTTTTTGCTCTCCCCTCCTTTCACCATCCTGTTGATGTAAATGTTGGTATACTTGAAGTTATCTCAGAGACTCCTTGCACTATCTTTATTTTTTTTAATTATGTTTTCTTATTGCTGCTCTGATTGGGTGTTTTTTCCTTCCTTATATTCCACATCACTGATTTACTTCTTGGCTTCATTACCCTACTGTTGATTTCTGTAAATTAATCTTCATTTGGTTCAATTCACTCTCAAGTTGGCACGTGTCTACTCAAACATGTACTAATAGCTTCCTTCATAACAATGCATGTGCTCTGGCCTCTTTCTTTTTCTCTACCTGAATAAAACTTGTTATATTCTAAAAAAATTATTCATCATTTCAGTTAGTGTATCCTTCATTTCTGACTGGTTATTTTTATGGTTTCCATATTTTTTTATATTGTTGAAGTTTTCACTAAGTTCATTAAACATCCTTATAACTAGTGTTTTGAACTCTGCATCTAGTAGATTGCTCGTCTCCATTTTGCTTAGTTCTTTTTCTGGAATTTTGTTCTGTTCTTCTTTTGGTACATGTTTCTTTGTCTCCTCATTTTGACAGCTTCCCTTTTTTTGTTTCTATGTATTAGGTAGGGTTGCTATGTCTCCTGGGTTTGGTAGAGCAGCCCTATGTAGTAGCAATTCTATAGGCTCCAGTGGCACAACTTCCCTGATCACCCAAGCTGGGCACTCCAGATGCACCCCACAGTGTGGGCTGTGTATACCTTCTCATTGCAGTTGAGCCCTGATTGCTGTTGACACATTAACAGAAAGGATTTACCCCCCAGCTGCAAGGGCTTGCTGCGACCACTGACCACTGTGGAGGATCAGCTGTACAGGGGCCCTCCCTACAGAACAGGACTTACTTCTGTGGGGCTCTGGTGACCACTGAATCTACACCTTAAGTATGTCACTTGTAGAGGTGGTTGAATGGTATTTCAATGTGGTCTGAAGCTGTGTACTGGGTGTGCTGGCTCTGGGGCTTCTTAACAGGTACAGGCCAAGGTCACCCACCACCTGTGTTCTTCCTGGGGCCACCTGGTATGAGCTACAAATCAATTTGCAGATGGCAGCTACTTGGGCTAGGCTTGGAGGTGGCCAGGTGAGGCTAAGCTGCTAACCAAGCCTGGCTGCTGCTAGTGCAAGCCTGAGACCACTTTGCAACAGGTAAGGGGCATGCTGAGACCCAATGCTACTTACTTGAGAGATTATAGGAAATCTGAAGCATGAGCCAAGACAGCCTTTTGTATGGACAGCATGACCTTTTGTATGCAGCCACTGGAAACAGCTTGGATGGGCCCACAGGTTGGGTGGGGTAGGGGTCTCAGGGATTCAACAGGGCAGGGCAAACAGTGGGAGTCAGATTGATGGAGACTCAAATATGGCACCTTCCTCTGGCTCTGTTGTAGAGGGAGGTTCAGAAAAAGAAAATGGCCTCTACCAGTACTTTTGTCCAGGAGAAAGCTGTCCCCTCAGCTCTTACCCTGATTCCAGATAATTCAGTTTCTCCTTGTATATCCCTGGTGCCTTTTGAGCTGCTGCTCCAGTGCTGGAGTTCAAAGGGAGTAAGTATGAGTAGGTCTGTGTGGGGGCCCTTGAAGAGGAACTCCTGGGACTCCAGAGGCCCTTCATCTCACTCAGCCACATCCCCGCTGGTTTATACAGTCAGAAGTTATAGAGACTTCTCTTCCTGGCACTGGAACCCTGGACTGGGGGCCTGGTATGGGACTGGGGCCCCTCACTCCTCAGGGGAAACCTCCACAGGTGAGATATCCCTACCAATTTTTATTTGCCACACGAGTATGGGACCAGCCTGTTCCAGGTCTTCATCCCTCCTGTCAGTCTTGATGTGGCTTCTTTTTAAATTTTCTAAAATTGATTTTAGAGAGAAAGAGAAAGAAACATCGATTTGTTATTGCACTTATTTATGCATTCATCTGTTGATTCTTATATGTGCCCTGACCAGGGATTGAACCCACAATCTTGGTGAATGGGAACAATGTGCAAACCACCTGAGCTATGCAGCCAGGGGTGGCTTCTTTTTTAAATCCTTAGTTGAAGTACTTCCATTCAGCTAGATTTCAGGCAGTTTTGAATAATGGTTGTTTTGTAATTTAGTTGTCATTTTTTTAATCCTCACTAAGGACATTGATTTTAGAAAGAGGGGAAAAGAGAGAGAAAGAGAAACATTGGTTGACTCCTGTATGCACCCTGACTAGGGATCAAACCTGCAATTTAGGTGAGACTCAAACCCACAACCTATTGGTGTATGGGAAGACACTCCAACCAACTGAGTCACCTGGCTAGAACAAGTTGTAATGTTGATGTAGTTGTAGGAGGATTCAAGTGTTGCATTTGCATATACCACCATTTTGACCAGAAGAGAGTAGATCTGTATAATCCATTATTATTTTGATGGCATATAGACAAATTCAGGAGTCACAGCTTAAGAATGATATGAGTAACAGGAGCTCAAACCTCAGGTAAGTGACTAAAGTCAGCAGAGGTGTTAAAAGAGGTGAGAAAAATCTAGAATGAATAGTAAAGGAAGAAGATAAAGAGGATTCGTTGTGACTTGGAACTCAGTTACAGCACCAAGGACTGTAATTTAATTCTACACACTTTCCTCTTACAAATTTATCCCAAGAGTAGAGACATACCTTCAATCTGGACTTGCTTCTCTTCTATGAAGAAGTGG